AGGAGAAAGATGAGGCTTTCTGCTCCTGTAAAGACTTACAGCCTCGGTCGCTATGAGTCGGAACCGACTCCACGGCATATAACAACAACAACTGTGGTTAAAAAACAGAGGCCCGCTGTCACTCAAGTAGTTAAAAGTAAATCTGGTACAATGTGTTAGAATAAAAGTGATATGGAAACCTGGTGGTGTTGTTATTTGCCATCAAGTCAGTTCTGACCTGTAATAAATAATACAACAAATGAAACACCCCTGATACGTGCTCCATGCTCACATATGCTACTATGTTTGAGACTGTTATTACTGCCCTGGAGTCCCAGTCCATCTCATTGTGGTCTCCCTCTTATTTGCTGACCCTCCACTTTACCAAGCATGATGTCCTTCTCCAGGGACTGGTCCCTCCTGATAATATGTCCAACGTAAGAGAAGTGAAGTCTAGCTATCTTGGCTTCTAAGGAGCATTCTGGTTGTACTTCTTCCAGCACCAATTTGTTTGTTCTTCTGACTGCCTGTGGTACTTTTACTATTCTCCCCCAATGTCTTAATTCAAATGGATCAATTCTTCTGTGGTCCATTTTTCATTTGCATATGTTGTTGTTGTGAAGTGTCATTGAGTCGGTTCTGACCCATAGTGACCCTGTATAGGGTTTCCAAGGAGCAGCTGGTGAGCTTGAACCACCAACCTTGCAGTTCAAATGGCTTTGCAGTCTGACGCATTAACCCACAGTGCTACACACCAGGACTCCATATGCATATGAGGCTCTTGAAAATATCATAGCTTGGGTCAAGTGCACCTTACTCTTTAACCTGACGTATTTGCACTTGAACGCTTTAAAGAGGTCTTGTGTAGCAGATTTGCCTAATGCAATACATTGTTTGCTTTCTTCACTGCTGCTTCCCTGATTGTTGATGGTGTATCTAAGCAAAATGAAGTCTTTGCCAACTTCATTCTTTTCTCCATTTATCTTCATGTTATTTATTAGTCCAGTGGTGGAAAAAATTTTTTTTCTTTATGTTAAGGTACAAACCATAATGAAGGCTATGGTCTTTGATCTTCATGAGTCAGTATTTTAAGTCCTCTTCCCTTTCATCAAGCAAGGTTGTATCATCTGCATATCACAAGTTGTTAATAAGCCTTCCTCCCATCCTGATGCTACATTCTTCATATAATCCAGTGTCTCGGATTATGTGCTCAGCATACAGATTGAATAAGTATGGTGAAAGAATGCAACCCTGGCATACACTTTTCCTAATTTTAAATCATTCAGTGTCCCCTTGTTTGTACTCGAACAGCTGTCTCTTGGTCTGTGTTCAGGTTCTTCAAGAGCACAATTAAGTGTTGCGGAATACTCATTCTCTGCAATATGGTCCATAGTTTATCTTTATTCACACATTTGAAAGCCTTTGCATAGTCAATAAAACATAGGTACATATCTTTCTGGTAATCTGTGCTTTCAGCAAAGATCCGTCTGACATCAACAGTGATATCCCTCACTCCACACTCTTGTCTGAATCTGGCTTGAACCTCTGGCAGCTCCCTGTCAATATACTGTTGCACCCATTTGTTAATTATCTTTAGCAAAATTTTGCTTGCCTGATATTAATGAAATTACCCAATGATTTCCACACACCATTGGTTTAATTCTCCTTGGAATGGGTACCAACATGGATCTCTTGCAATAAGTTGGCCAGATAGCTTCCATACAAATTTCTTGGTATAGATAAGTGAGTGCTTCTAGTGGTGCATCAGTTTGTTAAAAGATTTGATTTTATATTCCATTAATTCCTGGAGCCTTGTTCTTTGTCAATGCCTAGTGCATATTGGACTTCTTCCTTCAGTATCATTGGTTCTTGATCATATGCTACCTCTTGAAATGGTTAGATATGGATCATTTCTTTTTGGTACAGTGACTGTCTGTATTCTTTCCATATTCTCTTTAAAAGAAAAGAAAGTTTTTATTGTGAATTGAGTGAAAATTTACAGGGCACATCATCAGTTTTACATTCAACAAATCATATACTTTGTTTCATTACAATGATTATAATTATTTCTCTCTAT